CAGTTATCACAATTTTTCACATATTCTCTGGTACCTTCGAACATTTGAGGCTAATAATATTATTTTTTAGCCTTATTATATACTGCTTCAATTCCTAGATGGGCTTCTGACATATCTTTGTATAAATTAAATAAGAGTACTTCCACTTATTCTTGTGTAATTACTCTTTTTAATACTTCCTTGGTTGGTTTGTATAATTGTGAATTTTTAACAATGTAGTGGGTTGATAATCATTGAATTTGTTTTCATTAAGAAGTATCGCAATTTCCTAAGTAAGTGAAGTTGGTAAGGTATTGAATTATGTTTTGATATTATTGTTTATTCATGATCTATTATTGATGTTAGAATTTGTGATGTGTTTGGTGCCTGTAATTCGTCAATTCTTGAGAGAGTATCAGCGTTTGCATTTGCCTTTTCTTTGCAATATTTTACTTTGAATTAAAATTGTTGTAATAAAATCTTCAAACAGATAATCCTTTTACTATCCTTTTTTTAGTGTGTTGATTCAACAACTACTGCAATGCCAAATGATCAGTATATATAATAAATGTATTATTCTCTAAGTACCTCCTAAAATACTTAACTGCCCATACTACTGCTAAAGCCTCTTATTCAGTAATATGGTAATTTTTCTCAGCTGGGCTCAATATTCTACTTGTGTACTAAATAGGACGTTCTCTTCCTTCTTCATCTTTTTGTGAAAGTACTGCATCTAGTCCTATAGTACTTGCATCAGTACTTAAAATAAAAGATTGATTGAAATCAAAATAGGATAGGATAAGATTGGCGCAGTTGTCAATTTTTCCTTAAGTATTTCAAAAACCTTTTGATGTTGTTTTGTTCAATCATAAAGCATATCCTTTTTCAGCAAGTTTTTTAATAGAGTTATCAATTTAGAATAGCTTTAACAAAGCGTTAGTAATAAGAGAATAATCCTAATACAGCTCGTAATTATTTAATATTGAATAGAGCGTTGAGGTTAATGATCTTTTCAATCTTTGCTGAATCAAGTTGTATCCCTTATCCTGATATTACATATTCCAAAAATTGAATTTTATTTGTGTAGAAATGACATTTTTCTGGATTTATTTTCAATTGAACTTCTTTTAATAAATTGAAAACCTGTTGGAGATGTTATATTTGTTCATCATAACTTTTAAAAAATATGATAATATCATCAAGATATACTAATACAAAATTTTCTTTTATTTTTTGTAATATATCATCCATAGCTTATTGAAAGGTGGCTGATGTATTGCACAATCCGAATGGCATTACATTGAATTTATATAACCCATGTTTTGTAATAAATGCTGTTTTGGGTTTGTCTTGTTTCCTGATCTTAAACTGCCAGTACCCTGAAGCTAAGTCTAAAGTAGTATACCATGTTGCTTTTCCCAAAGATTCTAATAATTCATCAATCCTTGGTAAGGGATATCAGTCCTTTATTGTTACATCATTCAATTTCCTATAGTCTACACAGAATCTCATTTTTCCATTCTTTTTTCTTATAAGAACTACGAGTGAACTCCATTGACTTTGAGAAGGTCGTATAATTCCTTGATATAACATATTTTGAATTTCCTGCTGAATATATTGATCATCTTTTACTGATGTTTGATATGCTTTTAATGCAACTGGTGGTACATTTTTAGTAAATATACTATATTTATGTTGCTCTGAATGTGTCAATTCCTGTATTGTAGTTGCAAAACTATTAAGATTTTTCTCAAGAAATGTTTCTAATTGTTTTAAAGAAACGTCTGTTAATTTTTCACAGGTTGTATATTTTCTTGAATTATTACCAATTTCTATTCGAATATCATTTTCTTCGATTTAAACTTTATAGGCAGCTTGTAGATCCATACTATTCCTATAGTATTGATAAGTTTATACTGTTCTTACAATTTCTTTACAGTCATCACATTGACCTTCATTTCCTAAATTTTTCAAACACCAACACGTAATTGATCCCTTCCAATTTCTATTTATTAAACATCCATTTCATATTCAATTTATTGTAAGTATATTTCAGGATATTTCTTTCCATTTATTTGGATTACTTTCT